TTTATCCTGACCCGAAATCACAGGAAGACAGACTTATGCTCACTTTAGACGTGAAGCGGGCCCTCCTCTTCTACCTGAGTAGGACACGCTCCACCAGGCAAACCTATAAGCTGTTTGTCTCATACGCTGCACCCCGTGTGGGCACTCCAATCACTGCCCAACGTCTATCCAAGTGGATCGTAGATCTGATAGAACTGTGTTACCTACTGGCGAAACAGCCGTTGCCAGGCCCGGTACGGGCTCATTCCACCAGGGCTGTCGCTACATCCACTGCGTTCTTGAAGGGAGTATAGCTGCAAGACATTTGCAGAGCCGCAACCTGGGCCACGCCTAATACCTTTATCAGGCACTACGCCCTAGACGTCCGCCAGTCCACCTGTGACAGTCTGGGACGTCAGGTTTTATCATCGGCTAAGCAGTAAACACCTGACAGCACCCACCTCCAGGTTGGATACTGCTCGCTAATCTCCCATTGGTGTGAAGCACAGAGACCACGAAGAAGATAAACAGGTTGCTTACCAGTAACTGGTGATCTTCGAGTGGTCATCTGTGCATTCACACCACCCGCCCTCCTGCCCCGCTGCTGTCTTCTTCTACTTATTTTATTAGGAGATTGATGCGCGGCGGTTGGTAGGAACTGGAGGGATGTCCGTGCCTGGCCTTCTGGGCCTGCTCACTGGGGCTCCTGAGCATGCTCAGTTGGGCCAGGCACGAAAATCCTTTTAGGAGAGCTTGCTAGGCACCGGCAGATCCAGCGCAGGCGCACTAGATCCCCATTGGTGTGAATGCACAGATGACCACTCGAAGATCACCAGTTACTGGTAAGCAACCTGTTTTTTTTATGCCTCACGTTTCTCTACCTTAGGGGGTCTAAAAGTGGCTTACAGTCGCCTTCTTTTCCCTTCCCCACAGCAGACACCCTGTGAGGTGTAGGTGGGACTGAGAGAGTTCTGAGAGAACTGTGAGTGACACAAGGTCACTCAGTAGGCCTCACGTAGAGGAGCAGGGAATCAAAACCAGTCCCCCAGATTAAAGTCCACCACTCTTAACCATCACACCACACTGGCTCTCAGCTAGGGGTGTGCAAAAAAAAAAAAAAAGCCAGTATTTTTTGGCTTTGGGTAAATCAGACCCGAAAGTAAATGCCTTCTTTTCCTCTGGTAGCCCCTAGAAATTTCCTTGTCAGTTTCACTCCCCCCCCCCCCAAGTCAGTTGTGAGTGAAATTGACAAGGGGGAAGCCTCTGCTCTCTGCCTCCCTTCTCTAGCTGACAGGGGGTAGCTGGAGAAGGGCAGGCAGGGAGCCCAGGCATGTTTAAAATGCCTTTTCCCCCCTCCCGAATCTGGGGAAGGGAAAGAAAGGCATTTAAACGCCCCCCCCCTTTCCCTCCCTTCCCTGAGTTTCTCTGCAAAGCAGAGAGGCTCAGGGAAGGAAGGGGGCATGTTTTCATGCCTGCTCTTCTCTTCCCCAGCCAACCCACCGCAGCCTGGAGAAGATCAGGCAGGGAGCCCAGGCATGTTTAAAATGCCTTTCTTTCCCTCCCCGATCTCGGGAAGGGAAAGAAAGGCGTTTAAACCCAAGAAATGACTGGCGGCTCTGGCTGTTAGGTTTAAAGATCTTGTTTTTTGGGGGGAGGGGGTCGGTTCGGCTATTGCCGAATGCACACCCCTACTCTTAACATAGCCTGAAGTAACTTATTCATCTTCCAACATTGTATATGCCAGTGAATGTCAGCAGTGCCCTACCATTCTCTTCATTGGATAGACAAGTCAGTCCCTGCGCAAAAGAATAAATGTACATAAATCCAATATAAAAACCTCAACACTTAAAAACCAGTGTTCTATTTCTGACCTAAGAATGGTAGTCCTCAAAACAAAGCAAGGGGAAATTACAATGTGAGATTGCTGAACCCGAGTTCATTCACAAGTTCAGGACAATTCACACACACACACACACACACCCCGGCTGAATAGGGATACAGGATTCTTATCTCACCACAGATGCTAACTTTCTGCCCCCAAGCATTTCTCCTCTGCTCCGATCAAGCTGCTTACAATATGCACTGTACCTTTGAATCCTCTCTGGTTATTCTTTACAAAACCCCTCCCAACTTCTGACTGGGATAAGAAGACTCAGATCTCCATTCATACTCATTGTCTGACGAGGGGAGCTTTGACTCTTGAAAGCCCCTACCCTGAAAATCTTAGTGGTTTGCAAGGTGCTACTGAATTCAAATCTAACTGTTTAATTGTCCTATCAATAGTGGGTAAGTAGTTACCGCCTCAGCTCCTCTGGATGATGCAGTGGTCCCTAACATGGAAAAAGTGACTACGTCGCCTCCTTTGGAAACGCTGCCATAGCTTTCCAACCTCTTCCATGGGCAGCAGATTGCCTAATGCAGATACTGCTTTCCCACAGTATATTTCATTGATAGAATCTATTTATTTCTTTTTTTAGATATCTATACTAGACTTGAAGAACTGGATGAAAGGTGTGTATTGGAAAACATTTTAACACCACAGTGAAATCAGAAGTGTGTTGGAGGAACCCTCCCCCCCCACCCCAGATTTATATACAAATGTATACGGCATCCAGTAACATCACATTCTGCTCTCTCTTTCCCATGCATCAGTACATTTATAACTTGCTCTTTGCTGATGAATTGGCATATGTTGAACCATGTTCCAGTGTAGTTATTCTTTAAGAATAAGAATAAGAAATTCTTTAAGAATTTAAGAATAAGGCTTTTAATTACTTTATTACTTCAGCAAGTGTATGGAAGGCTTCCTAGATGAGAGTAATAAGGTATTTATGTAATATATATTCTCCTAGCTATGTTTTGATGTCATATTATCTATTTTGCATATTTTTATTTATAAGAAAAATAAGACATTTAAGGTTATTATTCACTTTTCTATAAGTTACATAGAACACACCTTATATCAATTACATAGCCACTGAGGTTTTTGTTCTCTTAACTCAAAGTATGAATTTCAAGTTATTAATGGTCACTGTCAATGTAAGTCAATCATTACAGCCCCCAAACTGTTCTTTGGTTCTGGTGGTATGACCAAGACAGAGAAGAATTTCTCTTCCCCCTGCACCTCTCTTCCACCTTACCATCTGCTGCTTGGCTGAGGTGGACATACAAGAAGGAAATAAAGAAAAGTTTCTCCTCCTCCCAACCCCTGGCACAATAGGCACTGTGCCCTGGGAGATGTAGTTTCCAGGATGCCCCACATCTAATGTCATGTGTTCTAGGAAGTGCAGTTCCCAGAGGCCACTGGGTGTGGCAAATCGATGTCTGAAGTATTCAGTAGTTGGGAGAGAAAGGAAGGAGACTCTTGCCTCCCTAGACTTGCACAGAGCAGCAGCAGCTGGGAGGTGTTCAGGAACATCAGGACCTCTGGCTGTTTTGATAATGTCATTAAGAAGATCATGGAAATCCAAGGAAACTTGGGGGTAATTTGCAATAGCTCATTTTAGCTAAGACTGATCCTCATTCTCCCCCCTCCCAATACAAATAGCAACACTGCAGTCTGATATTTTAAAAAAACCTCCAGCTAATATAGTCAAATGTAATATCAGTATCAAATGGGACACAATCCTGCACGCTATCAGGCTATCCTAACCCTAGTGAACTCAGCAGCATCTAAGAAGCCAGCTGTACACAGCCTGAGTTGATTGGAGGAGTGGTTCTGTTCCTTGATTCCAATCGTGTGATTGCTTTTTCCAGTTTCTCAGAAGATCCCTTGCAGATTACTGGCTTGAGCGGTGTTACTGACATCATAACTGATCTCATAAAGGAAGGCAGGATTTCAGCTGCAGAACTGGGCCTCACAAAAACACAGGCCAAAAAAATCTCCAGGTACTTTTACAACTTTGCTGAGACCGGGTTGCAGTCCTCAATGGCAACATGTTCTGTTACTCACCCGTGATGCAAGATACTGTTATATGTGGAGTATCTGAAAATCACATCATACTTGTCCTTCATTTATATTTATGCATAGTAGTGTTAGACAGGCTGTGGTGGCATGCAACTCATTGTGCTGGAAGCAAAGCAGACATAATAATGAGTATTTTGCTAACTCTCTGTGTGCTTTTTCTAGGGTTCCCAGGTCCCCCCTGGCCACCGGCAGGGGATGAGGGGGTAGAGTTGTCAGCTTCAGGTTGGGAAACTCCTAGAGATTTGGGAGTGGAGCCAGGGGAGGACAGGGACCTTAGTAAGATGCAATGCCATACATTCCACCCTTCAAAGCATCCATGTTCTCCAGTGGAACTGATGTCTGTAGTCTGGAAACCAGGTGTAATTTCGGAGGATCCCCAGGTCCCATCTGGAGGCTGGCATCTTTAGCTTTTTCTCATGGGTGTTAATAACCAAGGTTGGAAGAGGTAATCTGTGAAGCACTTCTGTCTTGTTTATTTTGTGTCTTGTTTCAGATGCTCCAGCGCAGTGAGTGGACGTTCACATCGAACAGAACAGGAGAAAAAAGAGTTACAAACCTGGATGAAAAGAAAGCGAAAGGAAAGACTGAACGAGTATCTCCAAAAGCTGGCTGAACAAAGAGAAAAGGAACACAATCCTTTTCAGTTAAGGAATAACTTGGTGAGATTACTTGTTTTAAACTGCTTAGTTTACAGTGCAGTCCTAAGAGCAAACACTGTATTATTATTTATAGTAGTAGTAGCAAACCAGTCCTCTTTTCTACCCGGCTGGGAGCCTTCAATTTTAAATTTGGCTGGCCAAATGCATCCTAAATGTCCTAGTCATTCATATCACAGTGTTTGCTTGTTGTCGGGCTAAGTTCTGTGACTGGACCAATGTACCCCAGCAAGAGTGGGGATTCAGACCCAGACCCCTCTCTGACACGGTCCACGACACCTTATTGAACCAGTCACAGCTAGTTGGGACCTTTGGGACTGGCCAGTGTGCAACCATAAACGTAAATAATGTGGGAGACTGGCTGTCTTATGCATGCATGCCATTATTTTCAGCTGTATTAATATTGAGGAGGGAAACAGCCTGTATCTTCAGTGTGTGGTGATTACAGCGTGAAGTGTCACTTGCTGGGAGTTGACAACAGCACGGTCGTTTCAGAGAGTAACTGTGTTGGTCTGCAGTAGGAGAGATAGATTTGACTCCAGTAGCACCTTAGGGACCAGCGAGATTTTGGGAGTATAAGCGTTGACTCTCGAAAGCTGATCCCCCCCAGATCTTGTTTGTTTCCAAAGTGCTACTGGACTTGAATGATAGCAAAGTAGCTTACCAAACCATTGTGCAGCTGTATAAGAGCAACAGCAAATGGATTTTGGCCTGTTTTGAGTGGAAAGCGGAGCAGCAGCCTGGGATCATCTCAAGGACCACCGATGTCCAGGTTCCTGCTTGCCAGTGGCTGCCTGCACCGATGGCTTTCGATCTGCCCTGTTCCAGAGCCCTAGTCCTGAAAAACTGCCTACGATAAATGTATAACAGCAGTGATAAGATCTATTTGCTATTTTTTTTTCCTATAGCAGCTTGGATATACATCACGGGAAATTAAACTGCAGCAAAAAAAGAAAGAGGAAAAAGATAAGTAAGTGGGGTTCCCCCCCCCCAGCTTTCTTCTAGCTTTCTCGTTTTGTGGTGCTCTGTTAGTTGCATCGGCCAACAAGGAGTGTCAGGTGCAAGTTCTTTATATTCTGCTGTGTATCTTTCAATGATCTGCTGGTAACCAACATGATACTCGAATGAAAGGTTTCCTTCAGGTTGAGTTCGTTGGCTTGGAATGTGAAAGGAGCTCTGCTGCAAGGCAAGCTTGGGGCAGAATGCTCACGGGGGGTGGGGCGGAGATACAAAAAAAGCTCAGAGTTGCTAGCTCTGTGGCATCAGCTTTCCCAGGCATAATTCATCTTCTTACCAAGGGAAGATTTTTAGCTTATGTGTGATCAGTCCTTAAAAGCATGTGAATCTGTGGTTGCAGGGGGAATCTTAGCCTTCATGTCATACATCTCCTGACCCTAACTACCCTTCCCTTGGATACTATTTCTGTTAGGGGCTCAAGCAAGCCAAGGTCATCTTCTCCCCTTCACTTGTCTTTCCCCCCCCTTTAACTGAGGCTCAACCAACTCAACATTCTCTTTCTTTGGAAGGAAAATGAGCGTGCCCCATGCTCATTGGGACTTTGTGTGCATGAGGTTTTCCAGTGTATCTTGGGGCAAGGGGGGGGGGTCCTCCAAGTACATAAAATGACTGGCCTGCTAGACAAAGGACCACAGGGCTTCTTTTATAAGCAGGAATTTTTTCAGGAATGATAGAGTACATGAAGACGCTTTGAGCCAGGAAAGGATGGTACATGTGAAGAACCTGGCCACTGGGAATGGTGCTTCCTGCTCTGTTCTTGTGGGGAAATATGCAGAACAGGCCTGCTCAGCATAAGGCTTGTGGGTCAATTGCAGCCCCCCTCTGGGGGAATTCCAGGTGCCCTGATTTTGTGGCCCATTTCCTCCCCTTTTTGCCCAAGCCCATCAAAATTGGGAGGCATGAGGAAATGCCCATGTCACTTGTCCTGCATAGCTCTCCTTCCCTGGAGGTGTGTGGTGGAGTGGGTGCCACCCTGCCTCTGAGATTCCCTTACTGTGTGTCTTGTTGGGAGAAGGAAGCCCTATAGTGCTGTTGCCAAACTCAGCAAGGAAGAACTAAGGTACATGGGAGGATACAAAAACAGCAAAAAAATGGGGGAGGGGATCAAAGAAAGGGAAAAAAGAAGGGAACTCAGAGAAGGGAGGTACAGAGATACCTGGGTGGCAGGAAAGAGGGAGGAAGGGGCTAATCATTTAGGTTATAGAGAGACCTGTGGGTGGTGGCACAAAGAGAAAAGGGTGATTAATAGAAGAAGTTTTGCTATTAGGTTTGCTATTAGGAGATGGGCAAGGGATAAATAGTGTTTTAGATATGGGACTGAAATATGTCCTTGGGAACTTTTTTTTTTAACTGGCCTTATATGAAACTAGTAGCCAAGCTTGTTGTAAAAGCAATACAACGAGCACTAGACTGGGCCGTGGGCAGCTGTCCATTCAGGAAGGCCACCGGCCAGTTCCCTCCTCCCTCCCTCCCACCGTGGGGCAGGGGGCGCAGCAAGCCTGGGATGTGGGAAGACAGGGAGGATGATGGCGAAGGCTGCCGCGGTGGGCTGGGCTTGCTTACCCCTGGGCAAGGTGGAAGGCACCTGGGGACACTGCACAGAATCCCCTCCACCCGCAGCAGGACTGCGGAGCCGCCACCGCTGCCTCCAGCCGGGCTCTGCCTCTTCCAAGCAAGCCGTGGCGTCACCCGGCACGTAATCCGGCGCTCCTCCATCCTTGACAGCATCGCCGCCACCTCTTTCTCTCTGGCCAGAGCTTCCTGGGTGCACACCTGCTCAAGCCGAGCCGGCCTGCGTGCTTGGAGCATTTATTTCTCCGGACCGAGTGGGGTCGCCTCCTGCCTGCTGCCTTGGGAAGACCCCGCCAGGTGTGGGGAAACCAGGCTGCTGCCGCCGCATCATGGCAAGCGCGAGGCCCTTTGGGGAGAGGAAGCAACTGTCTTCTGAGGGAATTTGTGGCCGGTGCCGCTTCTATGGGCGGGACTCAGGCAATGCAGCCAGTGGATAGGGAGACGTTCTGAGTGACACATCAGGGAGCCAACTTATTTGGGAGCGTGTGGAACGTTCTGGAGAGTGCCACTTCAAAACACAATTATTATATATAGAGAAACATCTTCTTGGGATTCTCTTGCTATCAAACGATAGACTCAATCTTGCACTTTTCTGCAGCCTTTGTGTCAATACACTTTTGACCTATCAGAATCACATTCCAACGTAGTCACCCTTTGGCCTACTGTCAAAAGGTGCTTTTCCACCACGGGAGTACCAGTGCAGCCCACTAGAGCTGTAAAAATGCAAAACCCATCTCAGAATCATTCAAACTGGATATTCCTGGAATAAAACAAGCCCTTTAATTGCCTGCTCATTCCTCCAGGCATACTTCATGTCACATGTCAAAGGAATGCTGTAAGTATGTGTCCAGGATCCTGCTTGTATGGAGGAAAAGAGCGAAAGTGAAAAGTCCATGGTATTTCTAGCAAAGTTGACAGAAGAGATCAGCAGTTGGGACCTTACCAACACCACCACCCCATGCACACTTTCAGTCAGCCTGGAGGTCCCTGACATCCAGAGTAGGATGACATGGATGCATTCTTCCTGTTCACCCTCTTCCTTAAAATCTGTCTCCACTCTGTGTCATTCAGACCTTGGTATAGCCAGAGCGATTTAGGTGTGGGAAGGTGGAACAATACAGGGTGTGTGAGAGAGTGAGGGATGGGAACGCTGGATGCCATTGAGGACTCTGTCTGAAGGCCAAATGCCACATGTGTGAATGCATGCTCCTTTAAGTAAAATGCTGTTAGTCTTCATTTTGAATTTGTGTTGGCTTTTCCTACAAAAAGAGGGATTGCTTTCCAGTAAAAGTAAGCTTAGGTTTCTTCAGCCAAGTGACAGAATACGTCGCTAAAATCCCCGTTGGATATTTATTTAATAGATTCATAGTAGCTTAATGTGCTTCTTTTTTGCTCCTCTTCCCTCCTGAGACTCTTGTTGTCTGAGCACCATAATCTCAGAGTCTCCCAAGCTCTCAACCTCATGCATGAGCTGTTATCAGACACAGTGCAACTTCCTTCACGTGAGCCTGGATCACCACCGAAAACAAGGTTGCCTCAAGATATCAAGAGGCCGCGCATCTCTTCTGCTGGAAGGTAAGGTATTTAAGCTCTCAATCACCCTCAGGTGTCCCACTTCAGGTCTGTTTGTTTATTTGTTTATTTAATTTCTTAATCGCCCAATCCCTGCTGTGCAGGGCTCTGGGTGATGCACATCATTCATAAAAACATCAAGATAAAACAATTAAAACATTAATAAGATATATCAAACAAAATGATTGCATATATTAATTTGTCCCAAGTGGGAACTAGATTTTGTTTTGCTGCAGGGTGCCGTGCATCCAGGCAAGAAGACACACCAGGGTGATTGAGACAATACACACCCATACTTCCTACATTTTTGTTTTAGGATGGTTGTTACCAGGGGTCTTGTTGTAGAAAAAGAGCTGCCGGAGCTCATTAGCATAACTCATTAGCATAACTTATTTGCATATGCCACGCCCCCTGACATCACCGGAAGTGACAGAAGGCCACACCCCCTGACATCGCCGGAAGTGTGTCAGAAGGCCCGGCTACTTACCCTCCTGCTTCATCCTCATTCCCAAACGGAATGAGGATCGAAGCAGAGGGCGGGGTAAAGAAGGGGGCGGGGCTTCACCATGTGACCACCCCGCCCCCTAGAGGTTCTCTTCCGGAGCTCCGTACCTGAGAGCTCCCCCCCGACTAGAGCCCTGGTTGTTACCCTGCCTGTGTCCTGCAGAGTAGAACCCAAGGTGACATATGCAAGTCACACTAAACAGATATTACAATAGCACTAAAAATGTCTCACGTCAGAAGTCTCCGTTCAAACCGATCACAGTCCTTTCCCCTGTCTGTCAGAGGTTCTCTTAGAGCCTCAAGCACAGAGGAAGGGGGGTTGAGCAGCCGGTCTTCCTCAGCCCTAACTAGAACTCTCTCCCCCAAAATGTAAATCCCACCTTGGAGTCTATGGGGGGGGGGCAGCTTACCATCTTAAATGAAAATGCAACAAATCAGTGAAGCATCAGTTAAAATGCCTGTCTTGAGAGTTACAAAAAGCAACAGCCCACAATAAATCATTACAATAGCTATAAACAGAATGAACAAGAGTTGAAAACCGAAAGGCCAGGCTCCACCAGATGTTAAGGGAGTACCAAATTACAAAGAAGCAGCAGCAGCAAAGCTCAAAGCCTGGGTGAATAGAAATATTTGATGTCTGAAACTCAGAAGCCTGAGTGCAGCACAGAGGAGTCTACCATGGCCATTTGTCGATGTCCCAGGGCACATTGTTGTATCATGTGGCTTCAATAAAGGGAATGGGGCTGTGGATCGTATGTCTAACATGTATTATCTGTTACTGTATGTTTTTATCTTGCTGTTAGAGCACTATATTTCTACTTATGCAGTACTATTCCTTGCATTGTTTTAAATGTCCCATTTAATACCTTGTTTCAGATTTCTGCAATCCTAGTCCTATTACATTGCTTATTAGGTGGCTCCTGCTGTTTGCACTGACTTGCACCATGTAATCCTCCTTGGGTCTCAGTGAGAAAGACAAACTATAAACGATTCATTGGTCATTACAAAATCAATGGCTCTGTATTTGCAGCATTGTGAGGTTGGGCTGTTCCCCAGGATGGATATTTTTTTTACCACTCTGAGAAGCGATTATGGTACCTTTTGTGTTGTGCGATGATAGAAACATTGTGTTTCCCTTTTAGACACTACCAAACTGCAAGGAACAGCACAACTTCCAGGGCTGGGTTGGGTCAGACAAGATCCTTTTCCAGTCTACCTTGTGACGTGACTCGAAGAAAAGGTAAGAACTCAAGAGATCTGATTTTGCAACTGACATCACAGCCTGCTGTTCAAGTGTTTCCATGCTTGGAGCTTGGATGCGGTGGGAGGAATCTGTGCACCTATGCAGGAGACACACAACTAGCGGGTTACATTGTGGCCGGGGTGTGTGTGCACTGAGCTGCTATGAGGCCCAGAAGTGCATAACCAGGGGATTCGGCAGCATTAGACACCAACACAACTAAGGGCAGGTGAGACATCCTGAATGACTCTGCCTTCACCTCTAGTCCCGATCAGGTGAGCCTCTTCTGGAGCTATGCTCTCTTTGCCCATAAGCCAGTGGTGACCAAAGTCAGGGCTCTTTCAGGGGTGGCACTTCATTTCTGCAATGCCTTTGCCTGGCATCTGCCTTTCTTTCCTTTAGTTGCCAGGCTAAAACATTCCTAGGCTTTTGCCTCTTTTAACTGTTTTGTGGCCTGATTCTGGCCTGAGGACTATTCTGTCATTTTAGACTGTGTGTTGTGAGTGTGTTACACCATTTTTATTCCCTGCCTTTGTTTTCTAATGGTTTTGTTGTAAGAAGAAGAAGAAGAGGAGATTGGATTTATACCCCACCCTTCACTTGTAGTCTCAGAGCGGCTTACAAACTCCTTTCCCTTCCCCTCCCCACAACAGACACCCTGTGAGGTGGGTGGGGCTGAGAGAGCTCTGACACAAACTGCTCTTTTTCAAGGACAGCTGTGCCAGAGCTTGTGACTGACCCAAGGTCACATCAGCAGGTGCAAGTGGAAGAGTGGGGAATCAAACCCGGTTCTCCCAGATTAGAGTCCACACACTTAACCACTACACCAAACTGGCTCAAGCTGCCTCAAGCAGGTCTTTGGAGAGGGGGGCCTACAAATTTTCTTGATAAATCTATCGTAAGCTGTCAGTTAAGGAAATGCTTTCCCTTTCCTCATCCACCATGTAAAAGGTGTAGTTATGTGTCTCGTAAGAACCAGTTTCGTGTATTGGCTAAGAGCAGCAGACTCTAATCTGGACAACCGGGTTTGATTCCCCACTCCTCCACATGAAGTCTGCTGGGTGACCTTGGGCCAGCCACAGTTCATCATTGATTTTCTGTGCAGGCACACATGGGGACTGCAAATTTATTTATTTATTTTTTATTTATTATTTAGATTTTTATCCCGCCCTCCCCGTAGGCCTGCCATTGGATATGCCTTTGCAGGCCTGCCATTGGATATGCCTTTGCAGGCCTGCCATTGGATATGCCTTTGCAGGCCTGCCATTGGATATGCCTTTGCAGGCCTGCCATTGGATATGCCTTTGCAGGCCTGCCATTGGATATGCCTTTGCAGGCCTGCCATTGGATATGCCTTTGCAGGCCTGCCATTGGATATGCCTTTGCAGGCCTGCCATTGGATATGCCTTTGCAGGCCTGCCATTGGATATGCCTTTGCAGGCCTGCCATTGGATATGCCTTTGCAGGCCTGCCATTGGATATGCCTTTGCAGGCCTGCCATTGGATATGCCTTTGCAGGCCTGCCATTGGATATGCCTTTGCAGGCCTGCCATTGGATATGCCTTTGCAGGCCTGCCATTGGATATGCCTTTGCAGGCCTGCCATTGGATATGCCTTTGCAGGCCTGCCATTGGATATGCCTTTGCAGGCCTGCCATTGGATATGCCTTTGCAGGCCTGCCATTGGATATGCCTTTGCAGGCCTGCCATTGGATATGCCTTTGCAGCTAAAAGCCTCCAGGGGACGTTGCATGCCAGAGTCAGAAGCCTGTTCCCACCCAAGGACCATGTGCTTCTGTGCCGTAGCACCCCCCTACCCTCGGTTCCTCTTTTGCCGCTGAAGGAGGAGATTGTGTTTTGGTTATGTTATTATAAAGCAATATAAAACAAGATGAGTAACTAGTTGTAGACCCATTTTGTGTTACAACTTCTTCAGAAGTTTTCATTCTTCATTATTTTCCTCTTGTTGCTCTGTGGTTATCTTCCTATTGTGGCAGTTCAGCTTTTACATAACATAGTAACATAAGGATGAGCCTTGTTGAAAATGGTGATATAAGATTATTTTAAGGGTTGCTATTGTTAATGATAATTGTGAAATTCAGATGTAGTTCTACCAAATAAAGTATAGTAGCCTGGATACCACAGTGATTGTTCCCCATCTGAGTGAAGGTCATAGTGTCTCCACATGCAAGGCCTGCCAGTGCTTCACTCCTAAAGCTCAGGGTGGTAGGGTGTCAGAAGCAGCGCTAAAGCCCCAGAGCCCTGGTCCAAGTTGGCCCTGGAGAAAGCTCCCAGTTCCACATAAACATAACTGATACGTTTGACTCCAACTCCGGGATCTGTGTCTCAGCAGATCCCATCTTGGTTGTGCTCCCCATCGCACCTCTCCTGAGACCAGAGCTAAGAAGGCTAAAGGCAACAAGACAAAGGAAAAGCGTAAATCAGCTCCTGAGCAGAACACTCCCATCTGCACTCCTAATCCAACGCCAACCTTGCAGGAGAAGCCCAGGACCCCATCTCCACCTGTTTCTATCTCCAATGGGGATGGGGATACAGGCTTACCACATGGCCAGGTTCCACCTGAGTCCGATCCGGCACAAATGGTCACAGTTCCATGTTCTCAGCCCCAACCGCCTTTACATCCCTACATGATATCTCCAGGATGGATTTGGAGGGATGGGGTAACAACTTCGCAAGCCCCAGGGATATGAATTTGTATCATTACCCTCATGGGGTATCGTTGTATCTGCCTTTAGTAACCATCTCGTGCAGGCAGCATTCTCTTATTCCTGCAGCGAGAAGAGAAGAAACAGCGATTGAATCTGATGGATACGACACAACTTTGGATGCGAGCCCAGACGCGAGGGTAGATGAGCATCTCCAGTGTCTCCCACAGAGGATGTCCGAATGTTTGGAGAACAGATGATTCATATGGCCCAGTCTCTCAAGACAGAAGTCATTACCTCAGAGCACAAACCCAAAGATAAGATTCTGGGTCACCTCTGTTCAGAGTCTCCCAAGATTATTGCTTTCCTGGTGTTGGAGAGCCTTGAACTGTGGCAAAACCTGCATCTCTCCAGCCTACCTCCAGAAGGATAGAACATTTTTATAAGATTGAGAAGAAGCCATTTACAGACAGAACAGAAACCTTTATTGGCATAACATAAGTAAACCAGGCAAGGAAAAGTTTAAAGGATAATACAAGAACAACAAGACAATCCTAACATGATTTGCAGGGATTACAGAGTATTACTCTCGACTTCCATACGTAGGTCAAAAATTCAGCGACAGATAGTGTTATTGCTGGGCTCCTGTCTGCTAAGAAAAAATTTAAATCCCTGTCCAGAAAATCTCTCTGCGAAGGGAGAAAAGGGTGAATCAAGATATTGCGCATAATATTTAGGTATTTAGGGCAGCGGAGAAGGATATGGGTAATAGAGTCAGGTTCCCCAAGATTACAGTTACAAAGTCTATCCCTGTACGGAACACCCCTGTATCTGCCTGAGACCACTACTGAAGGGAAAAGGTTGAACCTTGCAAGCATAAAAACCCTCCTAAAAACTGGGGTTATCAGATTAGCGATATACGGTAGCATGGAGGTATGCGAGGGAAGGAGGCCACGACACCAAACTGGTACCTGAGAGAGGAGGTTTTCCGCACCCAGTGATCACAAGACTACAATACATAGACCTTATTTGGGAGGAGGAGGGTAATTTAGCTTGTCAGTGTTTATTTTATTTATTTATTTTATTTGTACCCCGCCCTCCCCACAAAGCAGGCTCAGGGCGGCTTACACAAGTTAGTGAATAATAACAATTAAAAACGACATAAAATCATCTAAAACCAAGTCCATTATAAATAATGAATTAATTCATAAAGTGCTGACGATGTTTGATTAGTTAAGATGGTGTGCTATAAGAGTGCGTACAAAAATTAACAGTTATTCCGCTCAATGATCTTCCAATGCAAGCGGCTGTTCAGGCTAGATGTCAAAGCCTAGGGCCAGGGCTCTTGTTAGTGGTGGTAATAATGGTGGCGGCTCCTTAGCTGAAAGCCTGTATTTCCTGGAGTCTTCCAGTTTAGGGGTACTCCCTTTACATGGCTTCCAGTTTAGGAGTACTCCCAATGCTTCCACCTGTGTATTTGAAGATCTTGCAGAACTTTCTGTAGGAGTTCGACCAGTGGCAAAGGACACCATTGCCAATACTGCTTACCTCATGAAGATGGCAGCACTTTACATCCATTTCGTCTTACTGGTCCAAAACTAATAAATCAGTTTAGACTTACTAGATGTTTTGTCCATCTGCTCTCCAAAAAAATGTTCCCCTTCTATTAAGCAGAGATTAGACTTTCTCAGAAGTGGTACCTGTTCCACGCGCAGGGCTAGAGAGACAGGCACAGATCAGGAGTCTCAATGCGTGGATGAGATGCTGGTGTAGGGGGGAAGGGTTCAAGTTTGTTGGGCACTGGGATGCTTTTTGGAACAAGAGGGAGCTGTACAGGCGAGACGGTCTCCACTTGTCCCGAGAAGGAACCAGGCTGCTGGCACTTAAAATCAAAAAGGTGGCAGAGCAGTTTTCAAACTGAATATTGGGGGAAAGCTGTTGTTGTTGTTCAGTCGCACAGTCGAGTCCGACTCTTCGCGACCCCATGGACCAGATCACGCCAGGCCTTCCGGTCTTCCGCCGTCCTCTGAAGTTTGCTCAATTTCATGCTCATTGCATCTATGACACTGTCTAACCATCTCATCCTTTGCCGTCCCCGTCTTCTTTGACCTTCAATCTTTCCCAGCATCAGGGTCTTCTCCAGTGAGTGCTCCCTTCTCATTTGGTGGCCAAAGTATTTGAGCTTCAGTTTCATTATCTGGCCTTCCAGGGAACAGTCAGGGTTGATTTCTTTGAGGATTGACTGATTTGTTCTTCTTGCAGTCCAAGGGACTCTCAAGAGTCTCCTCCAGCACCATAGTTCAAAAGAATCTATTCTTTGGCTCATCTCAGAGAGATGAGGGGGTACCTGTTGCTTTTCTACAGGGAGGTGGATTGAAATTGTCTACTGAGACCATGGCTAGTGACATGGACTGCCTGACAAGGTCTCGAGACAGCAAGAGGAAGGTTGCAGGCTTAATTTGTATGGGAAATTATAGCTGTTTCTATACAAATGCTACAAGTGTCTGAGGTAAAATCAGGGAGTTGGAGTGCTTGGTGTTGGAGGGAAAAATAGACATTGTGGGTATTTCAGAAACTTGGTGGGATGAGGAAAATCAGTGGGATACAGTGATTCCTGGTTATATATCATATCGGAAGGATAGGGGGGGGAAGGGTTGGAGGTGGGGTGGCTCTGTATGTCAGAGAGGGTATAAAGTCCAGAAAGATTGAGAGGCTAAGAGAATTGGATTCGCTTCTGGAAATTCTATGGGTTGAAATAGGGGGGCCAAAAGGAAACTTAATACTGTGAGTTTATCGCCCACCAGATCAAAAGATAGAGGAGGATTATAAAATGATGAATGAATTAAAGATTATGCATGGGGATAGAGCAGGTAGAGAAAGAGGTACTTTTCTCCCTTTCTCACAATACAAGAACTCGTGGGCACTCAATGAAATTGCTGAGCAGTCGGGTTAGAATGGATAAAAGGAAATACTTCTTCACCCAAAGAGTGATTAACACATGGAATTCACTGCCACAGGAAGTGGTGGCAGCTACAAGCATGGACGGCTTCAAAAGGGAATTAGATAAGCATATGGAACAGAGGTCCATCAGTGGCTATTAGCCACAAGGTATAAATAGGGGCTCTGGGGCAAGTGATGCTCTGTCTTCTTGGTGCTTGGGGGGGGACAACAGTGGGAGGGCTTCTAATGTCCTGGCCCCACTGGTGGACCTCCTGATGGCACTGGTATTTCTGGCCACTGTGTGACACAGAGTGTTAGACTGGATGGGCCTTTGGCCTGATCCAACATTGGCGTCTCTTATGTTCTTACGACTCCCTTGATGGACCAAATCTATCTCCTGGTCTTTAAACCAAGACCATGAACACAATGATCCTTTCCACATAATGCAAGGTAATCACTAATTAAATTATATACAGCAATGCAACAAAACCAGATACCTATTTCTGATAACAGTTCTTTATCAATGATGCCCTTATCACTAGAGAGAGTGCTGAACCTATCTCAGCTAACAACAGCAATTAACTCAATTGATCTGCATGGTACAAGGTCCATGTTTATGTTTGCCTGGTTTGAGGCAACATGCTTCCTGTAAGGGCAAGCAAGAGTTTCTAGCTAAGGAGGCAGCTGATTTAATTCAACCTGGAATCTGCAGTAAAGCGATATGATGATGGCAGCTTCAGATGGAGCACTGACAGGACCTTGTGAAACCCACTTTCTGGAAGACATTAAAGGGCAAAGTGAGGTTACCCCCTGCAAGTCTTTGCAGGTTCTACAACTGAGTAACTGGACCTGGTCTGGCAGCTGGCACCACACAATTAGGCCTGACCCTGGTACTGCACAACTAGGCCCAGCCTGGCAGCTGGCACCATGCAAAGTTTTCTCAGTGAGACGCTGTCAGGGGAGGGAGGGGGGGCAGATAAAGGCAGGCAGAAATTCTATACAATAGCCCTCCAGGACGATCAACAGGACCCACTTGTCAGATGTTATTCACTTCCATGCAGGCCGGTAAGGATGGAGATGTGTGGGCTGAGGCAATAGGAGAACTGGGGCAGAGTCAAAGACTCTCCTTGGGGATCTTAGGGACTTTGGCATTAGACTGTGTGGAAGGCACAAAGTGAGGTTTGTTTCCATAAGGGCGTGAGGATGTGCTTGGGGATCTCTGCCATTGGGTCTCAGGGGATGATTTTTGTGAGGATCTGCGGGACCACGTTTTATTCCAAGCTTTAGGCCTGGTCTGTCAAGATACCTGAGAGATTCCAAGGTTCTGTGATGTGTTAATACTCTTATCCAGATCCTGTAAGACAGTGTCTGTCATGGAACTGAATAAGCCTTCACCCTCAAAGGGGAGGTCCTCCACAAAGGCCTTAGTATCTTGTTGCAGTGATGTAGAGCGCAGCCACGTGTGTCGTCGGAGGGTGACGGCAGATGCAAGTGTTTTAGCTGCTACATCGATATTATGTTTGGCTGAATTAAGCTGATGTTCGGCCAGAAGCATGCCTTCTTTCTGTATGCATCTGGCTTGATGGTTGAGGTCCTCAGGGAGAGCCACTATAAACTCAGTTGACTGTTCCCAAAGGGCATACTGATACCTGCCCATACAGGTGGTGTAGGTTGGAGGTTTTGATACCTAATGCTCCCGCAGAGTAAAATTTTCTTCCAAGGGAGTCAAGCTTCTTTCTTTCCTTGTCAGGTGGGGAGGAATGGGCACATCTGCCCTTAGAAGATGAGTTAACTACTACAAAATTTGGTTTGGGATGAGTAAATAAAAACTCAACTCTTGCCTCTTGGATCTTGTACATGTGGTCTATTCTGCGACCGGAAATAGGGGTGGAGGCCGGGTGGGTCCACAGGGCTTTGGTGGCTTGCAGCAAGACCGATGTCATGGGTAGGGCCACTGCCGTATATGTGTCCATCCGGATGATATCAAAAACAGAGTTGGTAATGGTAGGCGGAGGTTGCACCATCGACAAATCCAAAGTATTAGCCATACGCTTTATGAATTCCCCATAGGATTTGAGGTCCTTGGAGGTGGAGATCAGGAGATTCTCGGCCGCATTCTGTGGTGGGGAGGAGCCCGGAGGCTGTAGTGGACCTTCATCCTCTGAGTGCCCGGAAGAATCAGAAGAGCCTGAATGCTCTGAGGGATCTGAAAACAGCGCTGGGATCTCCAGTGTTGGTTGCATCGGTATCGATCGTGTCGCTGTTTGAGCAGCCTCAGACTTCTGCCGGTGCCACGTATCCATCACTATCGACAGTTGCA